CAAGCTACTGCCCTTTTCATTTGGGACATTCCAACTCCACAATGAGTTTGCAGACACCAATCAAGCAAGAGACTGCCTAAAAGGTGCCTCAGGGGACTTATGGGTGGACAAGTGCTATACAGTCATCACTGAGATAATTCATCACCCCCAGATCTCAAGTTTCCCCATGTGGAATAAGCATCTGGTACCAATGGAATCTGTGAGATAGTGAGAGATCTGATTGGGCATTCGTTGTCTCATGGAGCAATAACATTCTACATAAGGCTGATGGAGCATTGAAGCTTTCCACAAGTAGCACAAGGATGGAGTTTGAAGCCATAGAGCAAGTAATGAGCCACAAATAAATAGTGCCATCAACATAGCATTTGCAAATGACTCAAAAGCAGTAATGGGTACAATTCAGAGTGGCTTGACCACAGATAGATGGTAGAAAATAAAACAACTGCATGGCAAGACTATCAACTGGATGTATGTGCCAGGTCATGTAGAGGTAAGATAAATGAGGAAGCAAACAAGCTCAAAGGAGAAGCCTATTATCAAATCCAGCACAACTCTACTGGCAGAACACTGACATTCTTTGTACTAGTAAGGTAAAAGGGGTAACCACGAAAAGTATTCATCAACATTCAGATAGAATGAGACCGTTGGAAAACATAGTACTGTATGGTGTAGCCAGGAAATGCAAAAGATGGGGAATCAATAGGATAGTATACAGCCAGAGGGACACTGGTAACGTCAGTAAAGATACACTCTTCCATCTCCTGTGAAGTAGCCAGTTTCCACATGAGAGGTCAGCTCCTATTGGTGCAACTTCTGAGACTGTCACCAAGTGCTCAACTCAACTCCAACAGTTCTTGATAGACATTAAATAATATTGAAGTCGGATGATCGTCTGCTTAATATTTAAGAATAAAAACAAGTAATCGTATTTTACTTCTTTTGTCTTAGTAACTGTAATTTTTGGTAATTCTGACAAAGGAAATCACCACAAAAAATAATAATACATTTTCCATTTCTTCTTTTCTTTCGGAAAAATGTGTGCCAAGCACCTTAAAAATTACGTCCCAGAAAATCCAAGCATTCAAAAAACAACAACACAAAACAACATGGCTTTAAATGTAACATACTCAACAATACATGTTTTACCTGACACACCTACAACACACGACCATGTCACTTGCCAGTCTTTAGAATTTCTACAATTAGCTTGAAACAATGACTCATTACTTTTACTCGTGAGATTACACAATAACTAACAGTAAGTTGTTTTGTGTCCCTCCTGCGAGTTTACTCACTGTTTTTAACCTAACTATGTCAAGGTCGCCATCACAGGTAAATCACTGGCTGTCTTCCATATGTTCAATGATCAGATGACATCTGCTGCGTTAACTTACGAGAAGCAAAGCTGTAACAGACCAGGTGGTACAGAATGTACCATGTACGTACAACATCTACGTAGACAGTTACACAATGATTTTTTTCCGAATCCTACCTTTAACCAAAAAAACGTGATTATATAAACAGTTTTTTTTTCTTTCTCGTTTTAATTGTAAATATATATGCATACATATAGTTTTGTACCGATGAACCTGTTGTTAAAACTAGTCTGGTATGTGATACTAAATGGTACGCGAACACTTATTAAAAGAATACACCGTGTACTTGCATTCTTGAACTACTGGTTGATATCACAATCACTTGAAAAAGTACTGCAAATTCGAAATATAATATTTTTAACTGCCATCTGCGTCAACAAAGGAAGTTGAAATACGCAAGATAGATATGTGAAACGTATGCTTCATATGAACAGCTAGAAAATTGGAAGTAAAATTATCTAGTGTGCATACCACATCTTTGGATATTTGGTCAATTATCACCAAGACCACATTTGTAACAATTGCAACTAATACGCCATCTAGTAGTGATTAACAGAATAATAATCGCTGTCTGCAAATAAGATGCAAATTTGTACACATATTGTAAAAGATATGATAAAGTACTTATGAATGTTGTGTTCCTATGATGTTATAATTACTAAGTTGGCGGCCATTAGCGTACAGGCACTTATATGTTAATCACAGTATATATTTTTAATGTTTATTAAAATACTTCAATGAAAAACAGTTATAAATTTATTAACCGACCCGATAATACATATTAGTTCACATAGTTATAGATGGAGTCATTTACATCGTCATATCTCGTTATGGAAACAGACAAATGTCAGTACATGTATAGCCTTTGCATTTCACGATATATATTTGAAATACTTTATGTAATACATCCAGCAATAATATACAGTACTATCATTCAATCATCTACATGATTTGCTACATGAACACAGCATTCCACCCACCATATTTACTCTGAGTGACACTGTCAATGTCAGTCAACGTGAACACAACATTCCCACATAT